GCTACAAATAACACGAAAGCAAAACTCCAACTGACCTGTCGATGTTTATCGAGTATGTTCCCAAAGAATCGATAAGTGTCMGGGAAACCYTGKGAYCTAGCACACTCTCGTACGCTGACAACGCGGTGTTGCTCTGGGTGCAGAACTCGACCCTTGTGGCAAAAATTCAATTTTATTAGTTACACTACACCAACAATATACCTAATACTCCAGTTTCGAGATCTTATTGTTCAGTCTTAACCTCGAAATCATGTAATATATTCTTATATTCAGCAGATATCCTATTGTAATTAATGCAACACTCTGTACAAAGAAGACAATAAAAATTTATGCTTGAATGAATCTAAGCTTGCACAAAAGAGAATTCGAAACTGGAGTATTTAGAATTTTTTGGAAATGAGATCGAATTAATCCACAGGAATCCCACAACATAGATTAGTAGCTACCTGTTTTCCCATTGGCTCTGGGTTAGTGATTGTAGTACTGAAATACCCGTCCCATTCAAGTCGTCCGTACAAGCCTGCCCAGTTATTATGCCTATTTCCAGTATGAGGTAGACACCATGGCACTAGCGTGTTAAACTGCCTGTCAGCAGGGTCACAAGGTTGTCCCTCTGCGCATGAGCACACTCCACGTAATTGGCCGTTGGAACCCTTGCCGTTTTTCTTGTCATGATGTGTATAACACCTATTAGCATAATATTACAAAACGATTTTGTAGTGGACTTATCATGAACTCTAATCACGTGCGAGTGTTACTAAGACGCTCACATACAGACATACATACAACACGATAACGTTGTTACACGTCTTAAGACGGAAGTAAGCACAAAAAAAAAACTTTAAAACAAAGAAGTCGCGATGCAATGATTTTCGTTGTAACCATGTTGTGAACAACTGCTATATACTTACAGCTTCTTAGAGAAGCCATCGGGAAGACGAACCTCAATGTTAGGCAAATCTCTCCAGTCAGAGCCTGGTGCAAGAGGGATGTGACGCATCCTTGCTGCGACCAGAGCACTCATTTCTTTACATATATGGTCCCTCAGCATTGGCTGGTACTGATTGTCACGGATCTGAAAATAAATACTAACATTATATTTCTACGCTTTACGAAATCAAGCTGAAAATGCAGTCACAAAGTTAACAATGTAAACTGAAGATAAAAATCTTCCTGAAGTTTCAGATGCTGGTCTTTTGTCAAAGGACCACCGATGAATAAACGTCGGTAGTGTTGGTCAGTTTTTCATAGCTTTACAGTTTCATTAGAAACACCGACCCAGCTCCGATGAAACACCGACGCAGCTCCGAAGTAACACCGACGTAGCTCCGATGAAACACCGACGCAGCTCCGAAGTAACACCGACGCAGCTCCGATGTTACATCTATGTCCACGTAGCTCCAACTTTACCCAGATGCAGCTCAAACGTCGGTAGTGTTTGTCAGTTTTTCATAGCTTTACGGTTTCATTAGAAACACCGACCCAGCTCCGATGAAACACCGACCCAGCTCCGAAGTAACACCGACGCAGCTCCGATGAAACACCGACGAAGCTCTGATGAAACACCGACGCAGCTCCGAGGTTACATTGACGTAGCTCCGACGTTATTTAGATGCGACTCAAATGTTACATCGATGCAGCTCGAATGTTACATGGAAGCAGCTTCGATGTAACACCGACGTAGCTCTAATGTCATCATGAAGACGCAGCTCTGATGTTAAACCGATGCAACTACGATGTCCGACCGATGCAGCTCTCTTCTTTCAAACAAATAACGGATTCTATTATAGATAATAGTAACACATACCTGTCTTTGAAAGTGTGATATCGCTTCCCCATCATACGAGATTTCACACGCAGAAGCCCCATTATCAATCCCCGGTAGATCGGCCATAGCATCCCGTACTGTCACAGTACGGTATGGTGCCGAGGACGTACGTGTTAYGTTGGAACGGAACACTTTGTCGTCGACTTTGACGGTTAGCTGACATGCGCGTGGATGAAAGCAGTGAGTTGGTTCTGGGTAGAGAGGTAGCACCTCCCCAGGTGCTGCAGCAATAATGATGGCTCTTTGAAAACAGAAAGAAAACATTTTTATACCACAATTTTGAAATGCGTTTTAAGGCTACATGGCAGTTGGGAAGCACAAAAAAAAGAGCCTAACCTTCGTCGTGTTTGTGGAACTCCATAAGAACCTGCTTGAAGAACTCCAAAAGTACACTGAAAATCAAACATTCAAAACAATTTAGATCAAACATCTAGGGTGCCTACATAAAAAAATCTTTGGGATTCACGCGCGCTCTCATTGGTTGATTACTGTTTATATAAGAATTTAGAGACGTGGTTTCTGCTCGTAGGCTCATAAAGACAAAACAGAAGCAAGAGAAACACTCGGTACACTCGTGTTCCTGAGCTTGCCTTCTTTTATGCTCTGCATCTGTGTTTACAACAGAACACGAACATGCACAGCAATTTTGAATTTCTTACTTAGAAGTAAAATAAATAACACTGTTACTCAACAATTGCAGCAAGACAAATTGGGAAGCAATGTTCCGGCAGCACAAAACTTTCCGTGCAACAAAGACCAGCATTCTACATTTTTACACTAAATCTCCTGGTGTTGGGCTTATTACCACGCCAAAACAAACTTGTTTTGTAACAGAATGACATTAAGCTTAGACAGTTTATGTAWGAGCTAAAAAGTACCTGATATCCCATTTGCAACAAGCATCTCAAAGTAAGCTTGAGAACCATGCTACGCTTGAAAGACACAAAGTTTCGAACGTTTTCCAAGATGAAGAAGCGCGGTCGATAAAAGTCGCAGTAGCTCAGATAAGAAACRACCAGAGAATTCTAGAATACAAGAAAACATACTTATTTTTGAAGAACATTGTTAGATTACAAGTGAATGCCTCAATGAAGGAGTAATGTCTAGGAACATTTTTTGGCCCAATTGAAATCAAAATATATACGATTCAAGAGTGAACCAAAGGAGCATCCAAGTACTAAAGCTGAAATCTTCAAAGAGCGCATAACAGATTTGTTAGAACTTGTGTTTGAACTAATTTTGGTTAAGAAAAATTATTTTGCTTCTCTACTTTCATTTTTATTCATAATTTCATTCTCAGTTTTTATTATTTTGGATAAATATTAAAGAGTTCCCGAATTTTTCACTAATTTTGAATTGCATATTACAGACACCTCTATATTATGAACTCCTCTATATTACGGACAACTCTATATTATGGTCACCTGTACATACCAGTTATATTAAAACAATACCTTGAATAAAGAATATTCTCTGGTGTTGAATCGATTCATACCACTGAAGCCTTGACATGGGGGGCCACCACATAACAACTCCACCTCACCCCTGAGGGGGAGCTTTTGTCCTTTGGAATTAGTCTCTTTTCCCTAAAGAATAGATCACGTGAGAGAAAGTCCAACCACACAGGAAGCCCAATAGGAGCACTTACATCCATTGCTAACTTTAGGAGCTCATTGCAGTCGTCGGTAAATACGGTACAATCMGGGTTGTTCAGTCGGAATGCTTGGGCAGCGGGTACCTCTTTCTCAATAGCCCACAGGGACTCCGCAACTCCAGCCTGGTGAAGACCGGCTGACAAACCTGAAAGAGGATTTTAGTTGAATTTAGCACAACTTTTTTACTTTTCTGTTGAAAGTAGAAATGGTTGCGAAAAGTCCACTCACCACCACATCCTGCAAAGACATCCAGACTTTTCAGCTTTTTGACTTCCTCTTTTTTTGACTTGTCATCACTTTCCTTTACAGTAGCGGCCATCTTTCCTTTTCCTTTTCCCTTCCCCTTGCCTTCTTTGCCTTTTCCCTGAATAACCAGAAATAGTAAGATGCTATTAAGAAATAACAGACACACATAATTGAAAAARCCTTGTCGGGTTCAAAAATGTGATATCATCAAAGCTAAGACCRAAAGGGATTATGGGAAGGCAAATGATTACTACAATATTGCGTGTATACTGTTTCAGTTCCCAACCAGTCTTCACTAAATAATCATCGCTTCCTCTATGAAAAATGAGGTGCTGAAGTACATGTTTAGGCAAATGTGACTTGAAATTCCGAGTACCCAAAATCCCCTTTGGTCTTAGCTTCACCTTTTTGAACGTGACGTTTCTTCAATTAGGTGTATACCAAAATGTATATGCAACCCAACTACCACACTTGGAACTACTGATGAGGATTCTCCTTTGTTTCTTAGTTTAGTTTACCTTTTTGGACATGAGCTGCTCTCTTGCCTCTATGGATAGCTCATGAAATTCCTTTCTCTTGCTGTCATATGCCTAGTGTTTTTAGATTATCATTATTATGAGTATCATTATCACCAGTAAATGACTATCATTCTTTTTTTCGATTTTTTCTCATGCTAAATTGCCCACGTATCAAATGAAATCATGCAAAATTTGCAAATGTGGTCTTTGGCAAATCCGGAAAGTTCAGTCATTTCGTGAGATTTRAATGAGCATATTGCCATCATCATTTGATATGGGTGAATTAACAGTGCAACAACCTTGCACTTACAAAAATGCTCATCATTACAGCAATCATTATCAGTGTCACTGCAAACATAGTGTCAGGTGTGATCATGTTTAACAGGTTTATGTCGCACCTCAAAGAAGTAAAACCTGTCAGGTCCGTTAGCAGTGTACGTCTCCACAGTCTCATCAATATCTTCACCGTAAACCACAGTACATTTACCACGCAAATGTGACACAGATACTGAACATTCTGTTGATTGTAACACAGCAAACAAGTAAAAAACCACACATTAGCATTATGTTGTCATGCATTGCTGTATTCTGTTTTCTCAACAGTATAATAATAATAATAATAATAATATATGCTATTTATATAGCGCTTATCCAATTCTGTTCTAAGCGCTTTAAAACTACATGACAACTACAAAACACATGAGAGTCTTGGTAGACTGTGAGCTTGTGTTGGCGCCTCTGGCTGCCGCTGCACAGTCCATCCCAAGATCTCAAACTAAAAAAGTACAACAATCAGATTACATCACAATAAACAAGTCAAATGTTTTTTGCACGATGGCCGGTGGCTCAAATGAGCTCATCCGCCCTTTGACAGGTTTTGTTTTTAGTCCTGCTGGGAGTCATGCCACCCTCCTCACCAGTGTAGACTGGTGGGGGTGCCGGTTTAGACGCCGACGACCCGTCCATGAGGCAGGTTGTACTGGGTTACAATGTTACAAGTAGCAGACTACATGTCTGACCTGACCTATAACAGTCGCAAAGAATTTTGAAGGAGTTATGTCTCAATTTTCCTAGCTCCTTCAGAATACTGCTTTACAGCACTCATTTAGGCACACATCACCACCGCAGTGGTAATCAACTTACCCTCATCAGTCCAGTACAGAAGATTACTATCAGCTTGGTGTCCAGCACTGGGCCCTTTGTGAGTATCTTCAGRTCTGCATATTCCAATCACAATTGATGGGAATGAGAAGACAAACAAAAACCCATGAAATTACAAGACAATCATGATTATAGCAAAAGATTATCAACCTGTAGAGCTTTGTCACATTCAAGAAAACCTCTTCATCAGACTTCAACTTTCCTGACACATTTTTGGTAAGAATCTTTACAATTCGACCTAAAAACCACATACGAAATGAGAACCAGCACAAACAAAAGGCTGTAAATTATTTGAATGCTTAGGAGATGAGAATATCAGTCCTCATGAAAGCTACAAATTGTATCTGACTGAGCTCATTGTCAGGAGGTTGACATGACAGTTTTTGTACTGGCGGATGTTTTAGTGCAGATTTTTTGGATTATTGATATTCTCAAATTATTGCSGATTTGCAGATTGYACAAATCGTAAGAATGTGGATCTGAGGAACTGGTAGATTTAGGTGATTTTCCATGCAGATTTGAACTAATTTTTCTCGGTGGATTTGTGGATTCCAATAGCTCCCCCTTTCCCCCTCTTCATGTACTTTTATTGCCCAATTATATAATCAGATTGCAGCATTTGTTTTAAACGGATCGTATAAAAACAAGATACTTAAGGGAATTACCTATTTGATATGGAGCTGGTACATCCTGATTGCTCCCCTTGACATAATCTGAAGACTTTCTGTAATACTCTGGGTAGAGTTCTTCATCAACCTGTGGTAACAGACATAATAGATAATACAATGAACCAAATTATTTTATCACCGTGCTTGCTGCGTATATATTCGACCCAACGTATCCCATACATCCACTTGGTCACTATAGCGGGATCATATTACTTGGGGAAGATTCTGAGGTAAACAAACTTTATCCTAAACAGGTATCTGTAATCAATGGACACAGCTTTGTTTTCTTCAGTTGTTTTATATTAATGCTCTTAATTTACTTATCATGCATGTTCTTAAATGATTTCCTACACGGCTTACCGTGCCTTCACTCTTTACTGTTGGTTTTACTAATGGCTTCTGTTTGACACTGTGAAAAGATAGTTTATACACTTAAAAATAACAAAAAATTGCCAAATAAATTATTGCAGTCTTGACTTGATACACCTGAAAAATAGTAAAGTAGTATCACGCAATTCACAAAAGAAACGTAAGTCATAATGTGCTTTAATGAAGCACTCACTTGAATGTAAAAGCTCCATCTTCTAAGTAAACATAATCGCCAATGTTATATGTGATGCCCTTGTAGGCTAGTGTCCTGAAGGGTGAAAATAAAAACTCTGTATCCCTGCCTCATATAACTTTCACAGTTTTATTTGGGTTTTGGGTTGAGTTTTCTCGAACACATCAAAACCTGCACTTTGATTGCTTCCTTAGTACTGAACTTCTACTGTTTGGTTAGGTTTTGTTTTATTGTTTGGAAGAGTATTTATTGTTTGTCCATTGTTTTCTCAACCAATCCATGGGTTTTACTGATCTGTTGATGTGTTATTGACAACCATGAAAGATGTTGCAGAGAGCTTCACATCCTGAGAGCTATACACGTAAGTTTCCTTGAAGTATTAAAAATGATTAAATTAATGAGAAAACTGTCAGAAAAAGTTAACATACTTGTAGCCAGTCTTTGATCCAGAATCTTCTATTTCACCTTTGACAAATGCTGTGTCAAACTAACAATAAATATAACAAGAATTCATTCACTTGGTACAACAATGATGGTCTTAAGAGAGTAGAAGAACGATATCACTAGATGCTTTTTACCTTTTCCTGTGCATCATTCCGTGTACAGATCTCGCAGTAGTTTGTTTTGGCTCTCTCTACTGATACTGTGTATTCAATAGGAGGGTCTGTAAACCGTCCCATATCACTGTTGTACCTGGATATATTAAGCAATAATAACAATAGCAATAATTATAATCATCATCATCCTCATTGTCATCATCATCATCATAAAAAATCTTACCATTTCTGATAAAAGAAATGATTTTCATCATGTTGATCATCATTTGCTGCTTCTTCTTCTGTTGTGAGTTTGTTCCCGTGTTTTAGAGGATCTCTGTAAGTAACCTGCAAATAAACAAAGATAACAATAACAATAATAATGACAAGTAATAATAATAATTAACATCTAATAGAACACCCGAGGAATTCCTTGACTGACAAGCTACAAGATATCATCAAGGATGAGAAGTGTCATGGTTGCTTTCTAGCTTTGCAATGGGAAGACGAGCAACTTAGTCAAGAGGAATGCTTTTCTTGATTGAGGGATTGGACTTCTGCACCTACACATGTGGTAACAAGCATGATGGAGCTCTATGAACAACTCACATCAACAAGAATGTACACGTCACACAAAACCAAAACAACCCAGGAAAACGTAAGTTGCAGGATGTGCAGTAAAGCAGCAGAGACCATCCAACATGTTCTAGCAGGATGCTCTGCACTGGCTCAGACTAAATACATGGGACAACATAATGCTGGTTTGGAAGTGCTGTTCTTTGAGAAGTGTCAAGACCTCAAGCTCATAGATAGCGTCCCTCCTTGGTACTCTCATGTGAAACCCAACCCTGTGTATGAGTCATCAGATACTGAAGCTTTCTGGGATGTGCCCATGTATGCTGAAATTATCTTTGTTTAAAGCCAATAGAGTGCATGAATGGTTYGTGGACACAAGGCAAAGCACGTATGGGCAGTAGAAAAGAGCTGTCCATGAATTGATAACTGAGAACAGAAGTCAGAAGAGAAAACATCTAAGTACGGCCTGCTTTGATGGGAGTTGAAGAAGAGGTATCCCAGGTACAAGATCCATCAGTGTAACATCATCATCCATGTACTTGGTAGATAATCTAAAGAACTGGACCTAACAATGAAGAAGCTAGTTGGCATCAAAGCAAATTATATTCTAGAGAAGATGCTGAAAGCTACCATTTTGTGCTCACTTCATAATAGCAYGTACCTTCAAAGTCACTGTCACATAAGAACTCATCAAGGACAAATTTGCATCATTAACATTACCTAGAATTTTTTGAGTGACAATTCATAAGTGACTTTTTATGAACAAATATTTTTGTTTGAATTTTCTTCTTCTCCTTTTTTTTAAATTTTAGATTTGTAATTAATTTCCTTTAGGCTTCATGTGCTACAGTACTCGCCCCATGTGAAGCATCCATGTATGCACATATACGTTTGTTTTAATAAACTGCAGATGATGATAATAATAATAATAACAATACAATAATAATAATAACAACAACAACAACAACAACAATTGTTACAGGACAACATCAGCTTCTTTTGCCTGGGCTAAGCACCTTGAGATCATTGCTTGAGGTAAATATTTACAACTCTAAGAAATGTCTGGTTTGCATGTTACCTGGTCGCAGAGTTGGGACTTAGACGAGTGATTGGATTTATTTGCATAATTTTTGGATTTCACACCTGGTTACAACAAAGTGCTAATTACCAGTGACTTCAACTTCCCTGATCTAACCTGGAATTCTGAACTTGTTGTAAATCAGATAAGAGATATCTCTCTTGGATCCACTGCATTTAGCAAATTGACTTTTGACTTTTTCCTCCAACAAATGAATATGCATCCAACTAGATATGATAATATCTTAGACCTTGTCTTCACCAACTCCCCTGAGGCAGTCACCAATGTGTAATGCACATCGCCTTGAACAATAGGCCTCTTCAGCGACCACAGCCTTTTGTTTTTTGACCTAGAACTACGTGCTAAATGATCTGTGAGTGACAATAGAACTGTTTTTGATTACCACCTTGCTTACTGCGACAGTCTAGATGAATCATTGACCTTTGTTGACCTCTCTCCTACCCACATATACTAACATCGAAGAAAACTGGCAACGCTGGCACGACATGTTTCTCAGTGCAGCTGCTACTCACATTCCCTTGAAGTCATTCAAGAGACGCAACACCCCACCATGGATTGACCAAGAAGTTAAACACCTTTTACTAGTAAAGAAAAGAGAGACACTGAGACACAAGGCTAAATAGTCTAGCCCTAGTGCCTGAGAAAAGTTTCGCGAGCTTCGGTGCTTGTCTAAGGGGCTTAAAGCATCCAAATGCAAAGAATTCTATTGTTAGCTGATCTGGTGAAAACCAGTACTAAGAAGTTCTGGTCAGCGTTTAAATTCGTTTCAGGGCACTCCAGTGTTCCAAACAAAATGGTTTGGAAGCAGGAAGACAAGTCTACCATCTCATCTGATAGTCATACTGAAATAGCGAACCTACTAAATAGGTATTTTTCTTCAGTATTCAAGTGATCCCTGTTGGGCGAGGAATACCACTAGTTGTCACCTCCRAACTGTGAATGCATTGCTAGCAAGATCAGTGACGTCTTTTTATCACCTGAAGAGGTTCATGTTCTGCTGACCCTTGATGTCAACAAGGTGATTGGTCTCAATAGGATCTTGGCCAGGTTACTAAGGAGCTGCATGACGCACACATGTCCATCCCTGTGTGATCTATTCAACAAGTCCCTCAGTCTGGGAGCACTCCCATCGGTATGGAAAATATTTAACATCATCCCCATCCATAAGGGAGGGTCCACCCAGGAGGCTACTAACTACAGACATATCTCRTTGTTGTCAATCACCTTGAAAGTACAAAATCTTAATGCGGTGTCCTGTCAATCACTAGGAACAAAAACCCAGTAACTACCACCTACAAGTTACAAAAAGATCTTGCAGTAACTGTTATCACCAACTTAAAATAGAATTCCCATGTACAGTACGTAACTCCTAAGGCGAACAAAATGCTAGGCTTCATAAGATGGTGCACAGCCAACACTAAAGATCCAGGAGTACAGAAGTCCTGGTTCTGGTGTGCAGCTCACTCTATTATTGTTCCCAGGTCTGGAGCACCCAGTCAGTAACTCTTCTGTACATGGTTGAGAGAATTCAGTGCCGGTCAACCAAGCTCATACTTTCCCTGCCATTCAGGATAGATGTTAGCTACAAAACCAGACTTCTTAAATTAGGACTTCTACTTTTGTGCTATTGGCACGAATATATGGACTTAATTTATATTTTTAAACATTTTCAAATGACCCATTTCTTTCTGTAAATATGCCTAGAAGATTCACTCATTGCATAGACCCTACTAGAGGTGTGATACTAAATCTACCTAAAGCTAAATCCATTACTTTTCAAAATAGTTTCTACTGTAGAACCCTGTGAAGCTGGAACACCCTGCCATCAAGCCTTAGAGACAATACTCTTTCTCTCAACCTATTCAAGGAACTTTTTATATATTACAAAAACTTAACAGCTAATTATTTTGACATAGACTGACCCCAGATTTTCTAAACTATATGTATAAAATGCCACTCCTTAAATTCTCCTTATTGGAGAATTTTTCTCTGTATGATATCCTGGCCTAATGGTAAAGTCTAATCTAAATATAATATTGGCCAATTCTGAGCAGCCAGAAACAAGATGGTCTATAGTCTCAAAGAATGTGGGGTATGAAGACCACAACAAGACCTGTAGTAATAGGTGCTCTCGGTCTAATCAAGAAAGGGATGGAAAAATATGTCAAGCAGATCCCAGGTAACATCAGGGTACAGGAAATACAGAAGGTTGCCCTCCTTGGCACTGCTCATATACTAAGGAAGGCACTGTCAATCAAATAAACCATACACCCCCTCATAGATGCCCCAAGTCCAGGGCCTTGGACTCTGCATCATGAGTGAATAGAGCAGAAAAATTAAGAGACAATGCCAATAATAATAACAATAATAACAATAATAACAATAATAATAATAACAATAATAATAATAATAATAATAATAATAATAATAATAATAATAATAATAATAGTAAATAATCATAAATAATGATATGGATAATAACAATAACAATAATAATGCAGCCCATTTTACTCTGCAAATCAAAATATTACTTAAGACACCCTGTGCTAGCTGGATGTACATCAGCTCTGCCCATTAAATGTTTTTTCTTTTTTTTCTTCTTTTTTTGCATCTGGCCTAGCCTCCTCTGCATTCTCCCATGTTATATACAGGAAAGCCAAGAATAGATCTGTGAATCTGCCTGCAGAGGAGGCTACATCTGACCATTGAGAAGCAGCTCTGAAATAGGATAAACAATTTCATAAAAATAATACTTACAGTACATTTCCTAAGAATTGAACCTAGAGGGTTATCATCACAGTCATCAGCAAGGAAAAGTTCACGTGGGTCAGCTGATTCACCAAGAACAGAATCAGAAGCACGAGTCATCCAGCGAGCATGAAACATCTTCTTTCCTTTTGAGTTCTCCCACATGTAAGACACACAAGCGATGTATAAAGGTGTGTGGGGATCATATGGACAGACTTGAACAAAATCACCAACAGTGACCTTAAATATAAAAACAAACCATGAAAACCAATGAGAATTTCAATGTGGAAATCACTACAGATCTGAGCAAAATATTTCTATACATAGAGATAACGAAGATAACTAGTGTTAAACTTGTGTGAGCTGTGTTGGTGTCTCCAAAGAAACAGTTGTGATGAAATGACAAATTACACACCWTAAAAAAGAAAGAAAAGATACTGATGTATTGGATGTTGACCTTTTACTCCAACAGCAAGGACCAACATCTAAAATGCTAGTAACTTTTCTATCTTTTTATGGTTTAAAATTTATCATTTTATCATATAATTATCTATGAAGTACCTATATTTCTCAATTAAAGTTGTTATTTCATGATTGAAAATAACACATTTGTGGTATCTCTATATATTGGAGGTAAATAAGAGTTATTTTAAAACATAACTTGCTTTCATAGATAGTTATATGATAAACAGAATATTACATGGTCGCTTGGAGATACGCATTTTATCTTCTCGTGTTGAAAATCTCTCACTCGTTTGTTACGCTCACATGTGAGAGATCTTTTYAACACTTGAAGATAAAATCCATATCTCCGCGCTCCCATGTAATATCCTCTATGTACTGCTACTATTTCTACATATTATTAGTCTGCACCAATACATGGTATGCAATTCTTGGCAAAAATATCCCATATCAAAGACTCATTGAACAATGCTTTCATTAAGTTTGGAAGTTTTTAGAAAGAAAGCTAATTAGAAAGTTCTTCAAGAAAGTTTAGTTTTTAATTACAGTTTACATCATATTACAGGAGACTCAGACTTATGTTTACATATAGTTGGTAAACATGCATGTTTTAATGCCTAGAATAATAATTCAATAGTTCTATGGGTTCTTTGACAGGAGACCAACAAGACCTTACTGGAAAAGCAGGTTTWAGGTGGATCACTGCAGTTGTTTTTGACCATACCTCTCATTTTCATTCAACTTATTTATAGCCTTAACTTATACCTATGTACTTGATTTTTGGATCAGTTATAGAAATAAGATGAAAGTTTTGAGCAATGCCATTTTCAGCTTGATCGGTGTTACCATGGCATTGATCAATTTTTTTTGGTTGAAATTGTGTTTTTTTAAATATTTTTTAAAAAACCATGACACCTAAACAAGCAGAAAATTAAATCATTAACTTCAGACTATTACTAAACAATACCAACTATTTTAAAGAAAATCAATATTTGATTTCGAATAATTCACAAAAATCAGTTTTGGAATGCTTTTGCAAATTGTTTGAAATAATAATAATAAAAAAAAAAAGATTTTCTTTATAACAGTTGATATTGTTTGGCAACACTCTAAAGCTAGTGATTTTCTTTATAACAGTTGATATTGTTTTGCAACACTCTAAAGTTAGTGATTTCATTTACTGCTTGTTTAGGTGTTATGATTTTTAAAGAAATATTCTAAAAAAAACCCCAACAACAAAAAAACAACAACAACAAACAGGCAAAAATATCCCATATCAAAGACTCATTGAACAATGAACAATGCTTTCATTAAGTTTGGAAGTTTTAGGAAAGAAAGGTAATTAGAAAGTTTTTCAAGAAAGTTTAGTTTTTAACTACAGTTTACATCATATTACAGGAGACTCAGACTTAAGTTTACATATAGTTGGTAAACATGCATGTTTTAATGCCTAGAATATTAATTCAATAGTTCTATGGGTTCTTTGCCATGGCAATGCCAATCAAGCTGAAAATGGTATTGTTTAAAACTTTCATCTCATTTCTATAACTGATCCAAAAATCAAGTACATAGGTATAAGTTAAGGCTATAAATAAGTTAAATGAAAATGAGAGGTATGGTAAAAAAAAAAAACAACAACAAAAAACAAAAAAACAACAAAAACAAACAAACAAACAAACAAAATAACTAACTGCAGTGATCCACCTTAAATGGTAAGTATTTTTCATTGTCCATCATATTTAGGGTTATTAACCTCTTCCTTGTTGATGAGCGCACTTGAGTAATAACGCCTTGTGTTGGTTTCTCTGACTGGTTCTCCTATCCACTTTACTTTAGTCTGGAAGACAATATTGCATGCACTATATGGTTGTTGTTGTTGTTTTTGAGAATCAGTAGTATCCACAAACCTTGACAATCTTCTGGTCTTGAGCAATCTTGTGGTGAACTTTGTTGGCACCTTTCCTATTGTCTAGTTCCTGTTTAAAAGGCGAAGAAAAACATTCTAGCACTATTCACTTTGAAAACAGAGTTTTATGCTTGCTTGATGCAACAATTACAGCCGATTTATTGTTTCATTGTTCTGCTGGCCTTCAATCAATAGTCCAATGCATTGTCTGTTGCTAGTATAATCTGCATTTACTGTGGACAATCATGGATCAAGCAGTTAACAGTTCAATGTAGTCACAAAACTAAATAAAATAGAATTTTCTTCAATATGGGGTTTACACCATTTAAGTTTGTAGGCACAAAATAGGGGTAGAAGGTCATCTGAGGATGGGGTGCACATACCCTGCACTCTGTCCTTTTCCCCACTCTTTCCACTGGGAGATATCTCGCAAATATGACGTGCACCTTACCCATAAATTTTTATTGCAGAAATTCCTTCCATATGAAGCTCAATTGCTAGCTTGTGTTTGTCACTAGATACAGATACCTCATTCTGAAGTTATTCAGGTTTGAAATATTGTTATGCTAATTATTTTAGTGACATCATCAGAAGCATCAATACACAAAATTACACAGATGTTTACATTAACTTACAAAATAAAAATTGGACTGGCTTACCAAGGGACACTTGGAGTGAGGTGCTTTACAAAAAATTTGATTGAATGCCTCTGATGATATCATCAAATTAGCATTAATGATATTTTAAACCTAAAGAACCCAAGAATAGTGAATCAATATTTAGTGACAGTCAGACAAGCTATTAATCCCTTCATATGGAAGCTATCTTTGAAAGAAAATGATTTGGGAGAGGTGGACCTTATAAATAGTGTGCTTACAGAGTCTTTATCATATTCTTCAAGGGTTTCATTGTCTTCTGCTTCCTTGATGTCTCTATACGGGCATCTGTTTATCAGATTATATTGTCAATTCTTTAGTTTCTACCAATGTTCATGGGTAAATAATCTAGTGGTCAGATTTTTTGAAAACTTGACATAAGCTAACTTTGTTATATCATAGCCCAAACAAGCTGCCAACAGTGACACAACTCATAAATTGTCACAAAATTACAAAAAGTCTGGGTGTGATGTGGGCTATTTAAAGCAGCATGACTTTTAAGCATAAAATTACACAGAATGTTAGGAAAATCTAGAAGATCTAATACAAATTTGTCATTTGGGTGTCCTGTTTTCCTGTGCTATAGTTGTGTCCAGTTTGTTTAATACTACAGGGAACCCAAATTACTTTAATCAAAGTTAATATGTTCCTTGCTACTTTTGTTTGAGGAAAACACCCTATAAAGCCCATGCAAGGACAGTGGTCAGCAAGAGGGAGAACTGGCTTACAATTAAGAGTGTGGGAGAATAAGGGCGAAAGATGATAATTTTTTAAATTTTTGTACAATATTCATTTGAAAATAGATATAGTTACATTTTTGTGTATTTTCAGGTAACATTTGAATGGTTAAAAAATTCAGAAAATGTGAATACAATATATAGGTTTTTTTTAGGAAATTGAGTAATTGAATATACATTTATAACACTTAGAAGAGGCTGCTATAAGAATGTTTGTACATTCAGGAAAAAAACAAAAACAAAACTCTCTCTCTATATATGTACACACAAACTTAATATTAGTTTATGCGCGAGCTCACACGAGTGATACCTGTTTATTATTATTCTCATTTCACTTGCCATTTTGTTGTTTACTATTAAAGCTCTTTCGTTGTGTTGTTCTTATTCCTTACTGGCGATAAAAGTCAAGAACTTCAAAAATGGAATATCATTGATATTACTTTAATAAATATTTTTTTTCTGTCACGTAAAAGAAAGGAAGTGCAATTATAAAAGTGTATTCTAAATAAACACAATTATAGCAATTATGCATTCTCTTATTTGTTTTTAAGTAACTCAGAGAGGGTATTGATCATGGCCATATGCATTACTTGTTGTTGCTGCGGGTATTGTTGTTATTGTAGTTGTTGCTGTGT